TCTTTCTCTCTTTCCCTTTTTACCAGGTAGACACGATATACTGGGTGTGCAGAGACTAAGGACAGTATTCCTAGTCTATTTTTATTTTAAGATCGTCTTGTGTCTGCTTTATGCTTCGGTCTTATCCTTAAAATCTTAAAATTCAGCCAATGGAATAGATTTCAGTTAGGATCAATTAAGACTGGCAGCCCTATTGGCTAAATTTTAGGATTTTAGGGTTAAGACCGAAGCATAAACCAAGCATTAAGATACTAATAATACAACCTTTTGATTGGCTTATGACATCTCAAGACTATACTTAAGACAGTTTCAAATATAAGAATCGACTATGAATACCGGCCTGTGCTTATAACATCTCAAGACTGTACTTAAGAACGTCTTAAATATAAAAACTGACTATGAATACCGGCCCAAAATTCACATATGTTCTTTGATCACTTAGGACTCGATAAAATGAATTACACGCGCTTGATATATTTTTTCCTTTTAACGAAACACTCTATAAGCCAATTTAAATTAAAAACGCGCGAGTATTCGCAGTTTTTTTAAAAGTTGCATATATGTATTATAGATATGTACTATATATATGTACTATAGATGTGTTCCATTTGGTGTTCACAGGGCTATTAGCATCATTTGTCCTTTTTTAAACATTTAATAAACAACAAAGATAAAAGAATTCCAAAAGCGAACAGTAAATGGAACACAGCCCATATATGGCTTGTTTGCTTGTTTCAAGAAGGTCAATGATGAAAAACGTTCTGAGAAATTTACACGTTGCGATGTAATCATTAAGTGATAAAAATACGGCGGAAAAAAAAGTTGTTAAATTGAAGGTCAATTTTAATAGTCGACAACGTCTTGAATTCCTTTCTCCTAATTTTTAAAGATAAAAGTTACATTGACTGGATTTAAAATTAGATTAGTTCGAATTGAAGGACGTGCAATAATTATATGCACGACTCTACAATATATACACGTTAAAATTAATAGGATCAAAGTCTTATTTTAATTTTTAGAATAGCAGATTACATCGATTGGGTTTGGAATTAAATTAATTCGACTCAAAAGAGACGTGCGATAATTCTGCACGACCCTGTATATACGCGATGCAACCGACGCATCGATGCGATGCACGCGCGAATGCGTCGAATGGTTGATAGCGTGCGTTTATTTTAACCCTTTCGATATCCACGTACGATCACCGCGTATCATGCATCGAGTTCCATTGATTCGAATGCAAAAAAAAAGGAAAAGAAGCGCTGTCTTCCTTTATACATATAATTTTTCCCTGCAATTCTGATCTTTTTACAGGATATCATTGTGCATAAAATTCTATCAGAAAAAAATACACATATAAGATATTTTCAAAATTCATAAGTCAAGATAATGCAATCGTGAAATATTAAATTTAATGAAGGCATTAATAATAATTCTTATTTACGTATTTTGTAGTGATATTATTTATACACATACTTATTAATATTTTTGTAATTACATTAAATATAACTTGCGATGTTATACCGATCGTAATTTAATGCTCGTTTGTTCGTGCACATGATTTGCATCATTTGCATCATTCTGCATACATTATTCGAGAAATAGAATACGAACCGTATAAAATATGTATATTTTAGACAGAGGTTAAGCAGTCATGGCATACTTTAACTTTCTGATAAAACATATCGGTAGAAACGAAAGACGAATTCCGCCGAAGAATAAAAATTCGAGATCAGCAAATGCATTCGCGCGCGATTCGCGTCGAGTTGAACACGTGTACTTAATCTGCAAATACGTGGAATTGAAACTATAAACGGCGGCTATGCGGAATCGTTGTGACACTTGCAAGTACTGCGTGTGTTCCTAAGTCGACTAGAATTCAGTTGAATACGCCCTATGACGAATAAATAAGAGCTATCATCTTATTTTTAATCAATTATAATCGAGTCAATTAATATTCTTTTAATCTCAAAAACAACCGATATTATCTCGATTGGAAAGAATAACAAAAATTATTATATAAATTAAAATATTATATTTTATAAAATATCATATGTATGTATAATATAAATTATATTTATATAATTATTACTCGCTTCATAAATAACACAGCTTGAAAAATATATATGAGTTTCGAATTATTATCATTAATGAGTTAAGTAAACATTATTCTATCAATCATCGAAAGTGAACTTATTTAATTTCATCAAAAAAATCATCGTAACTCAAAGAGTATCCACTGTACTTTGCGAATGAAATAAATAATTAAAGTTTTTTTTCCATTTTTACACACTTATGCTGCGCTGATTCCCCTTTTCTCACTTTTTTTTTAATTCAAAGAATTATTTTTTAAAGTTTATAAATATTAAATTATTTTACGATTATAAAATTATTTTTTAAAAGTTATGAAAAAAATGATAAAAATGACATTTGTCAACAAAATGACATTTCATGTTAAGAATATATTATTCTTCTTGTCGATATTATAGGTATGATTAGTCAATAATTGAAAATGGTAATTAATTTAATTAATTTAATTAATAAAGATATTTTATGTTTTCGCCTGCGCTCTTTTTCATTTCACCATTCGCGCAGAATGTTCGGGTCATTTTGCTAAGAAGATTTCGTAAAGGGACAGCTGAATACAAAGCAAAGAATGCGATTGCTCACTAGCGATCGCGCGATCGATTCCATGTAAAAACGATTGCGCGGCTTGTGACAGTATGTTACGATCGCGAATTTATGTCAGGTAATAGCACGTTGCATTATAACTCGGCGCCCGCGATAATAATAGCGATACCCACGGCGATCCAACTTGCATACGAACGAGCCTTCGTTAATGTCGTCGTGCACG